CTGTTATAAACAGTCTCAGGTTGGGTCCTGTGTCCCTATGACATGCTATTGACCCTTGAGTTTCTGTTCACTTAGCACCACAAGATCTTATATTCTCTCATCTTGTTTTTTCTATTCTTGTTCATCTCCATTTCATTCCCCAAATCAACTATTTCCTCTGAGATCCTGGATTATTATTACTGAGGGCAAATCATTGGAAAACAAGGTCTGGATAGCAAATGTGCTCATTGCTCTGTTGTCACTGACTTGGAGAAGAAGTGTGTCATCATTGACACACACAGAAAAGCACACAATTGTACCTAGTTCATGTCTTTCTGCTCACATAAAGATGCACAGAAGTGTCTTACTGATGCCTCCTTCCTAAAAAGTTCCCTTTTATTACATGTCACTGCTTTAAGAATATCACTAGACTATAGTTATTGTACAAAATTATGTTGTATTATGACATTTTCATATGTGTCATTTCTTTGCTCACATTCTTCCCTCATTAATTTCTCTCTTGTCAACTCTCCCCTCTCCTGATGGTTGCCTAGCTCTTCCCAAATATTAACATTGACTTTCATATATATGGTTATTGATTTACAAAAGCATAATTGTCATTCTAAGTCTGGCTTATTTGATTAATTTGATGCTAACCAGATCCATCTATTTTTTCCAAATGACAGAACTTCTTCATCTTTATGACTAAATAAGACTCCGTTAGGGAGGGAGGGAGGGAGAGGGTAGATAGATAGATAGATAGATAGATAGATAGATAGATAGATAGATCTCAGAGTTTCGTTCACTAATGGACATTGCAGTTGATTCTATAACCTCATGATTATGAACAGTGCCAAACATTGGGATGTTTGTATCTCTGAGGAATGGCAACTGAGGTTCCTCTAACTGTATGCCCAGCAGTGGAGTAGCTGTAACATACAGTAGCTTTTTGAATTCTTTTATTTTATTTATTTATTTTTTATTTTGGAGGAAACTCCATACTGATGTTTACAGTGGCTGTATTAACTTACATTCCTATGACAACGCATAAAGCTTCTTGTCCCCATATACTGACCAGCATTTATTCTTTGTTTTCTTGATCATAGCCATTCTGACAGGATGAGGTAGAATATCACTGTAATTTTGACCTGAATTTCCAAGGTGGTTAAATGTGTCGAACATTTTTTATACACTTACTGGTCACATGTATGTCTTTTGAGAACTATCCAGTGGATTTGCCCACTTTTTGTTTGTGTGTTTGGGGGGGGTTGGGTACTTGAGTTTTGGAGGTTTTATATGTGTGTGTGTGTGTGTGTGTGTGTGTGTGTGTGTTTAGGGTTTAATTAGCTTGTGAAGAGAAACTGCAAGTTCCCGATTTTCTCTTCTTTCCCCTTTCTTTTTTAAAATATATTTTTTATTATTAAGAAATTTTCTATTCATTTTACATACCAACCGTAGATCCCCTCCCCTCCCTCCTCTCACCCCCTAGTTTTCCCCCCATCCCACCCCCAATTCCCACCTCCTTCAAGGCAAGGCCTCCTGTGGAGAGTCAGCAGGGCCTGTTACACTCAGTTGAGGCAGGTCCAATCACCTCCCCCTGCACCAAGGCTGTGTAAGTTGTCCCACCATAGGCAGTGGGCTCCAAAAAGACTGCTCATGCCCTAGGGGTGGGTCCTGATCCACTGCCAGGGAGCCCCTTAAGCAGATCAATTAATCCTCTATCAAATGTGTGGTGGTCACAAAATTTCTCCCATTCTATAGGTGGTCTCTCCCAGTTTCCTGTGCAATCCCATTTGATAATTTTTATTATTATTTATTGTGCTACTGGTGTTCAATTTAGAATTCTTTGCCAATCGCTACATTGTAAAGTATTTTGCATTTATTCCTGTCTTGCCTGCATTGTGAAGTGTTTTCCTGGAGCATTCTCAAAGTAGTATGTGCTACATCAAAGTGTTTGATCTCTTCTCATAACTGCTTTGTTCAGATGGGGAAACTTCTCTGCTTTTTCATCCAAATATTTAATCAATTGCACAGCCCTCAAATGTTCCATAAAGAACCTTCACACTTACAATTTCATACCACTATGAAAAGTAAATCTTTAGCTAGAGTACCACATGTATGTACAGATTTCCTTATCATTCATTAAACATATGTGGTCTCGGGAATGTTTATGAAAATTAATTAGCTTAGCTCCATTCTTTCTCAGATTCTTAACTGTGACTAATTTGTAATGCAAGGTGCATAATAGCTGTGAATTTCTGAATTTAATTTTATGTGTTATTGTACTGATTATTTTAATATTTGGGGTCATATTATTTTCTGGTTCATGTTACCCATAGGTACAAATAGCTCTGTCTCTTGCTTACCAATTCAATCTGTCTGCATTTCTCTTGAAAACTGTTCATTTTACCTAGGTTTTCAAACATGTGTGCATGTTTGTTTACAGTTTCTCATAATTTTATTTTATTTCATTTCATTTTTCAGTATAGTTCCTATGTAATTTCTCATTTTTTTATAGTTTTGCCTTCTTATTTTTTTTCTGTTCAGTTTAATGTTTTGCTTATTTTGTTAAACTTGCTTTTTGTAAGCAACCAGGGTGTTGATTTTTGAGTTCTATTTTTCTGATTTACTTTTGTTTTCTATTCTTGTCTTTGCTGTTTCCTCCTGTATGCATTCTTTCCTAATTTAGCTGGAAATTCAATTTTCTACTTTAGACATTTGATTCACCCTAGAAAATATTTAATTTATTTACATAAATAATGTAATATATTTGATTCAAGCAAGGAATTTTTTTCATGGAAATCAATTCACTTTTTTTAAAAAAAAATAGTGTATTTCTCTCAAGTATGGAAGACTCCATAGCCAGGCATTGTGGAACATGCCTGTAATCCCAGCTCTGGAGGGAGGCTGGACAATTCCAAGTTCAAGGCCAGCAAGTGTTACTTAGCAAAACCTGTCTCTAAACAAAACTAAGCTGAACTAAACCAAAGAACAACAACAAAAAACAAAAAAAAAACCAAAACCAACAACAACAAAACCCAACCAACCAAGCAAACAAGAAGCAATTTTACAAGTAGGGAGTATGTAGGAATAAAACAAGGAGAGAGGCCAGAAATAGCCTGAACCTACAGGCATGGTTGAAGTCCCAGATCTGTTGTTTTCTTGTCATCTGACTTTGTCACATTCTAAATTTGCTGATTGTAGTTTTGTTTGTAAAAGAGAAATAAAAATATCTCCTCTCTTATAAGTACTGAGTAGACTTCTACAAATCACCAACCAAAGGCTTTGTATTATATGATCAGTAAATAGCAGCACCTCTTTCTTCCTTCATAGGTTTTAAGCAACAACAGGACACACACACACACACACACACACACACACACACACACACACACACACACACAGAGACAGAGACAGAGAAACAGAGACAGAGAAACAAACAGAGGGACAGAAAAACAGAGATAGAGACAAAGGGACAGCAAGACAGAGGAACAGAACAACAAAGAGAGACAGAGACAGAGGGACAGAGACACAGAAGGACAGAGAGGCAGACAGTGTGTGAGAGAGAGAGACATACAGAGATAGAGGGACAGAGGAGGGAACAGAGACACAGAGGGACAGAAAGACAGAGGGACAGAACAACAGAGAGAAACACAGAGACACAGAAGGATAGAGAGACAGACAGTAAGAGAGAGATGTACAGAGACAGAGGGACAGAAAGGCAGAGAGAGACAGAGGGATGGGACAGAGACACAGAGGGACAGAGAGAGACAGAGAAGAGAAGAGAAAGAGAGACAGAGAAAGAAAGGAAGAAAGAAGGGAGGAGGGAGCGTCTGAGTTACAGACAGTTATAGTAAGAATTCATTGAATACTATAAAGAGCTTGACTTGGGGCAGCTTAATTCTGTTGTTTCACAAGTATCTGCACAGAATATGCAGTTTTCCCAGCGAGGTCATGTATGTGGCTTTACTGTCACAACATGATAGGAACCCTGACCCAACGACCGGAAGACCCCACTCTTTATTACCATACGCAGTATCCTCCTCTTATTCATACTTGTACTTTTTATTCAGTTTCAGTTACTCATGGCTGCTCAAAGACTAAAATATTAAATAGAAAATTCCAGAAATTAATATTTCATAAGTTTAAATTATACCCTGTTCTGAATAGCATAATGAAATGTCATGTGATCTTGATCATTTCTTCATGAGTGTGAATGATTCCTTTGGCCAGATAATCCGTGTTGTACACGATACCCAATTTTTGGTTACTCGTAAGCCATAGAGTATCTAGTTTCATGATGTTGTGGCACAAGCGACCCTTCTTTTACATAATCATGGCACAATGTTCAAGAGAAGTGATACTGGAAGTTTCACTTCATTATGACATGATTCTGTCATAATGACTCTATTACAATAGTTATTTTTAAACTCTTCGTCTAATATAGAAACTGCATGTAGGTTGAGTATAGAAGGGAACAACAAGTATAATTAGAGTTCACTAGTATCTGAGGCGTAATGAATTTATTGAGAATCTTGGAATTATTGATACTTTATTTTTAATTAACACGTAAAATACACAGCATTGTTGGCTTCACCACCCTATTTGTTAAAAGATAAGATACAGGCGTTGTTTTGTAGATGTATCCATTAGGACTGGGCTCTACAACTCTGCAGTTGGATTATTTATGGATAACATACAGAAAGAGCAAATCATATTTAGGGATGTATACAGAAATGTATATGTGCATCTGCTAACAGTTAATGAAAAGAGAGGTCATGAGAGAACAAGGAAGAGCATAGGGAAGGTTTGGAGTGAGGAAATGGAAGATATAAATGATGTAATCATATTATAATTTCAAAAATTACAAAAATAAAAACTGTAAGATGTGCAAAAAATAAAGAAGTTAAGCTCCAACCACTATGTGGAAAAATGAGTACAGGTAATGTTAAAAAAATAGCTGTGGAGCTCTGTGAACAGATCCCAATTCTTATTTTTCTTTACCACCTCCTCTGTTTCAGAAAAGTGTGAGTGTACAATTGGGCCACTTCTAGTGAGGACAACGCATACCTTTTCCTGGGACACTTTCTTCAGAAGACCAGCACACATCCAGTTTGCTCAGATATAACCCCAAATTAACAGAGTTCTTCTAGAGGGGAATTCATTAGTCTCACCAAAACTGGTAAGAGCATAAAAATACCTTTGCTATTTCATGACATGGTGATATATTCTGAAGGAGTTCAATTTTTTTTTATTGATTGGAAAGGTCCATCTTAAAAAAAATTATTGATGCCTTGATTGATATCTTTATCAGTAGTCAAGCAAAAGTTGATCTGTTTGAAGGTGTTGTCGTGCATACATAAATAGAGCATACATAAAGTAATGGAGTTAACATTTAATGTAAGTAGTTTCCTGCCAAGCAGTCTTCCTTGTAAAAATGTATAGTTTAATAAAACCCATAGTTGCCGCATTCTGTGTTGGTGTTACCTCTGTAAAGTCAATTGCTGTAAAATGGGAAAGCAATTTCTTTAAAATTGGCTATGATGAAAATGTGTGTGTTTTAATTAGCTATATGCAAATTCTTTTATACCTGGGTTTCCCTCCTTGTATTGCTAGTATCTGTAATTTATTCTAAAGTTTCTTCCTTCAGGTTTGACATATTCTGTTATAATACATAAAATTGCCAGATACGCCTATCAGGTTAACTATCAGAGAGTTGGGGCTTGGAAAAGACCGAGGTGGAACCAGATGGTAGAGCAGGAGTCTTTCCTGCAGGATTCCTGGGGGAGAAGGTAAAGATGAATAAAGATGGCTCTGCATCTTCTAGACACACTGTGGCTTCCTGGGAACAGAAGCCCAGGGATGAAAAAAAAAAATTGATGGCTCATAGCATGAAACAATGTAGACAGGTGTTGGGACATGGAAACTATCCAAAGGGTTCTCTTCTCAAGTACACAGGTTATTCACCTCTCATCTGAGACTTGAGATCTAAATCAGTGCGTCTGAGACATAAAACAAAAATCAACTGACTTTGTAGATGGGGACAATCTCCTGAGGTCCACATTCATCTACAGTGTCCAGCAACTTTTCATATTTTTTTTGGATGATAGTAAGGAACTTACTTCCCTAAAGTTTATTGGGGACAATCTCCTGAGGTCCACATTCATCTACAGTGTCCAGCAACTTTTCATATTTTTTTTGGATGATAGTAAGGAACTTACTTCTCTAAAGTTTATTAGTAAGAATGACCTAGAAAATGGGATCTGGGAGGTTGAAGGTGTGTAAATGTCACTGTTCACAACACAGTGTCGGAGAAATATTCTAGAGACCGATCAAAGATTATAGTTTGAATTCTGACCCCGGTACCTTTTGGGCATGACTTCTGGGGTAGTTTTGAAAATTAATAAACTAATTTATAAATAGAGGTCTAATACTAGATCTGTTACTCAATGAGTTATCAATAAATAGGCATTATTTTACTAAGCCAATGTACACATGTTTGAAATGATGTTTTTAGGCTGATTGATCTTGATCTTGTGCAATTTTCTCTATGAGGACAAGATTCTCATCTGAAAACTGTATTATGTTGTATTTTCCTTGCTCACATAGCCAGTCTCAGTTGGACCACATTACTAGAGTTCTCCAGGGTAGATCTGTGAGTTTTAAATCTGATAAAAACATGTCTGAAGGTTATTATAGTTTAAATTTTATCATTATTCCTGTGACTTCTAGCATCTTGATTTACTGAGGAGAGTATCTAACATCACCTTGTCTTTGAAACAAGAACAGTAGACTATTTATCCCAATTATCATGAATAGGAAATGTGACAGTCTATAGCGCATGCCACAGAATTAACAAATTCAGGTTAGGCACAGTGAATATTACTATTATCATTATTATAATTATTCTTTAACGCATGTTCAGCTGCCTTTACTGTGATTGCTGATGTGGTCAATCTACTTGGTTCTACTGCAATAGGGTCTCATGTAGCTCAAGCTAGTCTCACATTACATGTGTGTCACCATTGCCTAGAAGTTGTTGCTAGCCTAGTGAAACTAAAAGCAAGCAATGTTTTTTTTTTTAAATTTTTTATTTTTATTTTGCAATACAATTCAGTTCTACATATCAGCCACGGATTCGCTTGTTCTCCCCCCCTCCGGCTCCCTTCACCTTCCCCCCAGCCCACCCCCCATTCCCACCTCCAGGGCAAAGCCTCCCCCACGGACTGAGATCAACCTGGTAGACTCAGTCCAGGTAGGTCCAGTCCCCTCCTCCCAGGCCGAGCCAAGCGATCCTGCATAGGTCCCAGGTTTCAAACAGCCAACTCATGCAATGAGCACAGGACCCGGTCCCACTGCATGGATGCCTCCCAAACAGATCAGGCCAATCAACTGTCTCACCCATTCAGAGGGCCTGATCCAGTTGCTGACCCCTCAGCCATTGGTTCATAGTTCATGTGTTTCCATTCATTTGGCTATTTGTCCCTGTGCTTGGTCTCAACAATTCTCGCTCATATAAACCCTCCTCTTTCTTGCTAATTGGACTCCCAGAGATCCACCCAGGGCCTAGTCTTGGATCTCTGCATACAGATCCCTCAGTAGTTGGATGGGGTTTCTAGCACGACAATTAGGGTGTTTGGCCATCCCATCACCAGAGTAGGTCAGTTTGGGCTGTATCTCGACCATTGCCAGCAGTCTGTTGTGGGGGTATCTTTGTGGATTTCTGTGGGCCTCTCTAGCACTTTGCTTCTTCCTATTCTCATGTGGTCTTCATTTACCATGGTCTCCTATTCCTCGTTCTCTCTCTTTGTTGTTGATCCAGCTGGGATCTTCCGCTCCCCCAAGCTCTCTTTCCCTCGACCCTCGCCCTTCATTACCCCCACTCATGTCGAGGCTGTTCATGTAGATCTCTTCCATTTCTCCGTCATTGGGCGATCCCCGTGTCTTTCTTGGGGTCCTGTTTTCCAGGTAGCCTCCCTGATGATGTGAGTAGCAGTCCAGTCAACCTTGATCCACATCTAGTATCCTCCTATGAGTGAGTACATACCATGTTTGTCTTTCTGAGTCTGGGTTACCTCACTCAGGATGATTTTTTCTAGATCCATCGATTTGCCTGCAAACCTCATGATGTCATTGTTTTTCTCTGCTGAGTAGTATTCCATTGTGTATATGTACCACATTTTGTTTATCCATTCTTCAGTTGAAGGGCATCTAGGTTGTTTCCAGGTTCTGGCTCTTACAAACAATGCTGATATGAACATAGTTGAACAAGTGCTCTTGTGGTGTGGTTGAGCATTCCTTGGGTATATGCCCAAGAGTGGTATAGCTGAATCTTGGGGGAGATGGATTCCCAATTTTCTAAGAAAGCGCCATATTGATTTCCAAAGTGGTTGTACAAGCTTGCATTCCCACCAGCAGTGGAGGAGAGTTCCCCTAGCTTCACATCCTCTCCAGCATAAGGTGTCTTCAGTGTTTTTGATCTTAGCCATTCTGACAGGTGTAAGGTGGTATCTCAAAGTTGTTTTGATTTGCATTTCCCTGATGATTAGGGATGTTGAGCAGTTCCTTAAATGTCTTTCAGCCATTTGAGTTTCCTCTGTTGAGAATTCTCTGTTTAGTTCTATAGCCCATTTCTTAATTGGACTGTTGGGCATTTTGATGTCTAATTTCTTGAGTTCCTTATATATTCTGGATATCAGTCCTCTGTCAGATGTGGGGTTGGTGAAGATCTTTTCCCATTCTGTAGGCTGTCGCTTTGCCTTGTTGACCGTATCATATCCTTTGCTCTACAAAAGCTGCTCAGTTTCAAGAGGTCCCATTGATTGATTGTTTCTCTCAGTGTCTGTGCTACTGGTGTTACATTTAGGAAGTGATCTATTATGCCAATGCGTTCAAGACTACTTCCTACTTTCTCTTCTAGCAGGTTCAGAGTAGCTGGATTTATGTTGAGTTCCTTGATCCACTTGGACTTAAGTTTTGTTTACGGTGATACATATGGATCTATTTGCAGCCTTCTATATATTGATATCCAGTTATGCCAGCACCATTTGTTGAAGATGCTTTCTTTTTTCCATTGTGCACTTTTGGCTTCTTTGTCAAAAATTATATGTTCATAGGTGTGCGGATTAATGTCAGGGTCTTCAATTCGATTCCATTGGTCCACATGTCAGTTTTTATGCCAGTACCAAGCTGTTTTATTACTGTAGCTCTATAGTAGAGCTTGAAGTCAGGGATCGTGATGCCTCCAGAGGTTGTGTTATTGTACAGGATTCTTTTGGCTATCCTGGGTTTTTTGTTTTTCCATATGAAGTTGAGTATTATTCTTTCCAGGTCTGTGAAGAATTGTGTTGGTATTTTGATGGGGATTGCATTGAATCTGTAGATTGCTTTTGGTAAGATTGTCATTTTTACTATGTTAGTCCTGCCTATCCATGAGCATGGGAGATCTTTCCATTTTCTGACATCTTCTTCAATTTCTTTTTTCAGGGACTTAAAGTTCTTGTCATATAGGTCCTTCACTTGCTTGGTTAGTGTTACCCCAAGGTATTTTATGTCATTTGTGGCTATTGTAAAGGGTGATGTATCTCTGATTTCCTTCTCAGCTTCTTTTTCCATTGTATATAGGAGGGCTACTGATTTTTTGAGTTGATCTTGTATCCTGCTATGTTGCTGAAGGTGTTTATAAGCTGTATCAGTTCCTTGGTGGAATCTTTGGGCTCGCTCAAGTATACTATCATGTCATCTACAAATAGGGAAAGCTTGACTTCTTCCTTTCCAATTTGTATCCCCTTAATCTCCTTATGTTGTCTTATTGCTCTGGCTAGAACTTCAAGTACTATATTGAATAAGTATGGGGAGAGTGGACAGCCTTGCCTCGTTCCTGATTTTAGTGGAATTGCTTTGAGTTTCTGTCCATTTAATTTGATGTTGGCTGTTGGCTTGCTATAAATTGCCTTTATTATGTTTAAGTATGTTCCCTGTATTCCTGATCGCTCCAAGACCTTTATCATGAAGGGGTGTTGGATTTTGTCAAATGCCTTTTCTGCATCTAGTGAGATGATCATGTGGTTTTTTTCTTTGAGTTTGTTTATATGGTGTATTACATTGACGGACTTTTGTATGTTGAACCACGCTTGCATCCCTGGAATGAAGCCTACTTGATCATGGTGGATAATTGTTTTG